AATTTCTTTATATTCTAGACATTTATAATTTGAATCATTTGCAATGTAATTAGGCCAAAAAGTATATACCAATCCAGACTTGCATTTTTTGTTTGTATCATCTGTCCTTAATGATCAATTGTATTTGCTGACAAGGTCATTGTATCGGCCATAGAACATACGATGTGGTGACTTTAAACCAGACTGCTGATATTCTTGTTTCATCAACTTGTTTTTCATAATTTACCCCGTTTCAAAAATCGTTCATGTATTACGTAAAGCATGCTCTTGCGTATCGAATCATGCAACGTTTAACTGAGAGATATAAACCCCGCATACAGGTGATAAAGGTATTTTGTTGCATGAGCGCAAGCATTCTCTATCCAGAGTTGTCTTCCGCTACGCTCACAACACCTCTGTCAACGCTCGTTGTACAAGACTCTTGTACAAATTTTAAACGCTGAAGATTCAAAATTTAAATGATAATTAATTATTGTAAATATTGATAAAGTTGATAATTCATTATTTATTTTAAATCTATAAACCCAAAACGACTTATTTTCAAAGATTTTAGGGAATATTTTGCGGAGTAAAAATTAATATCTTAATTAAAAAATCCTTTTAAGGTGTAAAAAATTGATAAAAAAGACAAGAATTATAATTACACACAATTATAATTACAACTTTTTATCAAAAACATTTTTTTCAAGAATCTTGTATAACAAGCGTTGACAGAGGTGTATGTGGGAGAGAAGCGGGAACGACAACTCTGTATAAGAGAATGTGAGCGCAAGTTGACGAGAAGATAAAAAAAACATTACGTTTGTCATATTTAGCCTGGTTGTAAGATTACCATTAACGTTCTTTTCAAGTAAAATATCTTAATATGAAACAGGTGTGTCAGACTCCGTGGTTTCTTTTATTTCAAGCTCACAGGCATATATCGTATCGACATAAAAATGGGGGAAAACATTGTTTACAAACAATACGTCGTCGATATATCTAAATGTCGAAATGAAGGCCACAGAAAGTGTTTTCTTTTTAAAGAGTAAATTAAAGAGAAAGTGAAGAATGGTTATTAGAAATTCATTATAATCATTAATTCAGAGACTGCATATTGTGGATCAGATTCATTTCTGGCATGCTTCGTAAGAAATTGGATTTTTGCCGAGAACCCGAGAGATAGAGTGTAAAATGCTTATAAAACCCAAATCATCAGTCATGTTTTGTTCAATAATGTAAATTGCTGAGAAACACTCTTTATTGACATAGCCTAAAAATATATTTAATAGGCTTTTATGTAGGCCAATGTCTACAGTATAATACTATTACATGTTGTGCTGTACTGCATAAAAATAATTATGTTCAAATCGATCTTTATACTTTACCTAGAAATTGTTTAGAATTTTTTTTGAATAATAAATTTATCTAAAATGTTGAATTTGTATCAGACAATATAATCTTACATTACTATTTTATTTTATGACTACCCCTAACTTTTTCTCATATGATACATGCAGTTTTCGTTAACAGCCTTTCATTTATTTCGTATACTTCTTCTATCTGCTGATGTTCAGAATGACTTCATCCAAAAACAGTAAATCTATGTAAGCCATGTATTAATAAGGGGTTGTTAAATCTGGTGATATTTCTGAAACACCGAGCATCTCACCATCTGCAGCATTGGAACAAGATAGTAGAAAAAAGAAAAAGAAGAATTCAGCTAAAGAGAAGAGTTTATAGGCCTAGTAAGCTAACAATCACGCATCAGATTAAGGAAGACTGTATATTTTTCCAATAAAAACAACACTAAATTTAGATAAATGGAGTTTCTTTCCTAGCCCTACCAGATCTTTCCCTTTGCCAATTTTAGGTCCATTTTTTTCCAATATTTTATTCCATGTGCATCAGTAGTTAATGTAGACAGTGGTACACTCAGTGTTTCTGAAGTATTGCTAGTTTTGTAATTCTTTGATAAAAATTATATCTAACATGTATAGCAATCGATAATAGGGAGTACACAAGAAAACGGTTATTCAAGAAAACTGCAAATAAAATAAGAAAGTTTCAACAATTATCATTTGTAAAAGGAAAAACAGATTTCTAACTTTAAATATGTCATATCAAAATTTTTAGAAATGTATTTTGCGAAAAAAATTCTCAACTGCACTGTAAAAAATGTGCTTAGGAAATTAATTGTTTCTGAGAACACTTTATGCATGCATGTTTATATAATATTTGTATTCATATATATTTTTCATATTGCAAAATATTAATGTCTTCTTCGAACTTTGATTATTTTTCAGATTGGAGAGGGTGAACAAGGGGTATGCAAATACAGTGTAGGATGTACTTTTACATATATTTACTTTGATACAAAAAAGAAAAGTAATTCAATCGAAAAATGAAATAAAGACACGTTTTTTATTCTTAAATAGAAGAAAAAAGATAATCGTTAGACAGAACTTTAATTTGCAAAAGTATTACAACCCTGTATTCAAAATGACAAACACAAATAAGGTTATGACATTATATTGATTTCATGAGTAAACACAAAGGGTTGCATCGACGAACACTTAAGATTACAAATCTAAAGTATTTGTTTAACCTTCCGTGGTTAATGATCGCTTCTGTATCTGAAGCTTTTAAAATGGAAAAAAGCGATTTTAATTTTTGGTACAAGATTATTGACAGATTTAAGTTTTAAAAATATTCGAACAGAAAATTTTGCACTTGAAACAATTACACCAATTACATCATTTCATTTACTTTTATTTAAAACAATGTTTTAATTGACAATTTTTTCTGTTGCTTTGTATAGGTGATTGCCAACTATCGAAAATCGGGCAAGGGATAAAGAGAAGAAAAAGTATTCTCACTTGTAATAGTAATTAGTGGAGAATAAATTGGTGGCATACAGAGCAGACTATGACTGGGGCCAAACAGTGTGTATGATTCATCTTGACATTCAAGTCAAAGGACTTTTCTCTCCTTCTCTCTCTGACTTCTGCGAAGAGGGATTTTAGTATAACTTAGAATGTTTTTGTCATAGCCGGTTTCCAAAAGAAAGACTTGAACTCTACCAAGAAAATCCTCAACCCTTCCATCTTTCTTTTCAGACTGGACAGTGGTATGATAGATCATATTTGACTCCAAAAAAAAAGATACAGCGTCTGGCATCCTTATACAAAGTTTTTATCAAAGAAGAGCATTTCGATTGTTAAGATGTTCTTATCAAAGAGAAGATTAAGGTAAGAGCTCTGAGTCATAGACCAATGGAGGATAAAGTGGGATAAGCCACGCTTCTTTGAATTCTTTATAAACGGAAGGGTAACTTCTACCAGAGTTTTTGGTCCAAATTGAGTAAAACTTGGCAGGCAAATACCATTGCAAATAAAAATAAACTTTCTGTACTTTGTTTCAAAGTTATTTTTCCCATAATTTATATTCAGAATAAAATAGACAACAAAGTTTCACTATCTTGTAAATTGAATTTTTAAAATTTGGATGAAAATTGTTGCCATGATAAGAAAAAAGAAACTTTTTTTTTTTCAAAATTATCACTTCCAACATTTTTGTTTGGTTTCAATACAATAAAGCATAAGTTTTAACAGTGTTTTCAGTGTAAGTTAAAGAAGACATTTCGGTTCAATTCTTTCAGAAAGTACCTGCAACTATTAGTTCACAAGTAGAGTACATACCCTATGTTACACGACCTGGTTGATCGTGTTTTATTTTTAAAGATAGGGCTGTCATAATTAACAAATTTTTTTATTTTTAATGTTGGTTTTCAATGATTTTGCTTTGTTTTCAGTAAAATTAAGTACAACTTTGGAAAACATGAGTAAATAAAATTGGTTTAAGCTCAGTTAAAGTTTTTCTTTGCACAGGCTGACATAAGAAAAAAAAACTACACATACAGCCTCAGAAACTTCTGGTTTAATTATAAACTTAACTTCTAGTTAAATGTTTTGTAATGTTTTTTTTAGAATATGCTGTTTAGTCACAACTATCTAAGATATTTTTTACTACGTGTTCTCAATTTTGTGTTGATACAACTATATTATCCATTATGTAATAAACGGACATGCCATGCATTACATTTTGCATCGCTGTCACACATTTTGCGTCTTTGTTATATTTTATTTCGCTAAAAGGTTAAACAGAACTAGCTCTGAGGAATTCTTTATATTTCCATCCATATACCAACAAATCCGGCTCAGATTGGGCGTGTTAGCTTTGTTTACTCGTATTGATCAGATCGCTGTTACACATTTTGCGTCTTTGTTATATTTTATTTCGATAAAAGGTTAAACAGAACCAGCTCTGAGGAATTCGGTATATTTCCATCCATATACCAACAAATCCGGCTCAGTTTGGGCGTGTTAGCTTTGTTTAATCGTATTGATCAGAACATCAAAATTAAACAGAAGATTGTTAAAATGCCAATCTTACATAGGAAAAACAAATACACTGAGGTTTGTTGAAAATTAATAGAATCCAATCGCGGAGTCTTGCAGAAGAGTGTCTGAGTGTGACTATACGACTCTTAAACAGTTGTAAAATGATCCGGTAGTCAAAGATACTTTTACATGAGAAATGAGTTTCAGTCGCTAAATAAAGCATCAATCACTTGAAAACGGAAGATCATTTGCTCCGAGTGGCTACAATCAAGGCATCGACAGAAAGGTGGTTCGGAGCAAAGCGCTAGATTAGGAGGCGGATAAAGGGGTAAATGCCGATTGACTTTAATCACATTTATCGCAGTAAACCTACAGTTGTTTGGGACAATTATAATTACCGGCGAAATGCAATTGACGCGAAAATGATAAATGAAATGTTACATGTCCAATCAGCATCGAATATCAATTATTGTGTTGTAAATTGATTAACGGGGACCGAAGCCCTCTCTTAAGAGCGTGACCAACTCGCACTAGTTCATCTGTGTGCGATTGTATCGCGATCGTCAGATAAAAAGCCCCAGTCCCTACACCCGATACTCATAGTAGTAACAAGAATTGATCAGTTACTCGCCTAACGTGTTAGGAACGAGAGCCGCTGAAGATAGAAGCGATTCAGAGACCAAAGGGGCACAAAGTCTGCATGTGTGTCAAACATATTTCTGTCGTCTTAATTTGAGTTTAATTGCTCCTGATGTTTTCTAGCTCCTCTGTGACAAGCGGAATTTTCTACATATGAAGTTGATTAAGGAGAAAAACACACAAGAGATCTAAGATCTACGCATATTTTCTGTTTGGATTATTGTTTTTTTGCAAAAAAAGTGAGTATTTTAAGTCAATTAATTCATTAGCTGGGGGGAAGCACCGATTTGATCCATCAACCCCGGGATGGATTGATAAAACGATTAAGCAATAGTGTGTTTGGTCATGTCAGTGATATGATATTTCAAAAGAAGATAATTTAATAACATGTATTTCTCTCTCGTATGCTTAACTTTGTTGGTGGTCTAGACACGGATGTGATAATGCACTTCATATTTCATGTGTTTCGTGTTCAGAGCTTTCGTAACTTTGAACAGCCTTTATTGTCCTTCACAAACATTTAATGAAAAATTAGGAAATTATTAATTAAAAATTAATTCGGTATTTTTTCAAGACTGTTAAGAAGTTTCGGGGTTGACAGTAGTCGCTTTACGTCTGAATAACTCAGCATGTAATTTTTTTCTACCGTAAATTTAAGTTTCTATTTGTGGACGAAGTATTTGGTAGTAAATCATGCTGTCAGAATTGTCGTTAGTAATAATTATTTTCATGTTGCATTTCATTTAGTACATAAAAAAATATCTGAAAAGCGAGGACAGAATAATCTAAGCCATTAGAAAAGTTGTCAAAACTGTCTAGCCTAATTTCAAAAATTGGTTAATTACATTCTTTGAGAACAGTTCATATCTTAAGAGATGAAGCCAAGAGATGATGGGTATATTTTTCAGTCTTCTGGATTTTCTGTTTTTTCTGCGGAGATGGTGTACTTGGTATCCGATTCAAAGTGGGTTACACGCACATTGCTTAACCAAAATAATTTATATGAGCGCATAAGATTTATTATTAGGTGATAAATGTTGAAAAATGATATATTCCATGAAATTCTTTTAAGTCGATATAGATATCATGTGGGTGATGTTTTATTGTTCTGTAAAAAAAAAATATAAATGTTATTAAGTGGTTTACTTCCTCGGAATTTCAGAAATATTTACCAACAAACCATTAATAAGAATTGTCTTGCCTCCGAGTTTGAACTCTTGTACTTCAAGGCTAAGCTTTACGTCAAAAACCAGCGAGCTTCAATAAATAGCCGCATCTACTTCTCTTCGATTCAATACACTTTAATGGCTTTCTTGTTTGCTCTAAAAGCTTTAAATAAAAAAAATGTGGTGGGCATTAATTCATTAAAAACCCAATTAATCTGTTGTGAATTGTCGTCTTACAAACTTTTTATTAACGTCTAATGAATATTGATTCTGACGGGTTCGGTTTGCCTGCATCAGTGTACGGACAGCTGAATCAATGGGCCCGACCTCTCATGCGTGAATAGCTGATTTTTGTCAAGGAAAAAATGTAGATGTGTAAAACATTTTATTGTGTTGTCGACGGTCTAGATCCCATCGGTCTGTCCTAAGGGAGACATTTTTTCTCTCACAAACGATATTTTTTTGGGAAGACTCCTCCGCTGAGCCCACTACAAAACAAGCCCTGACCTCTGACGATATAAAAACATTGAATTAAGTAAATGAGTTTTTTCGCAGCAAATGACATTGATGTCGGTTTTAAGATTTTTGGGGACTGATAATGCCATACTTAAGCCATGAGTCCAGAGGGATGCCAACTTGAACTAATACAATGTATCTCTTTTTTCTGCTTCATTTTTCTAGAACGACATCCTACCCAAGTGAAGTGTAGAGGTTGTGAACTTTAATTAGTGTAAGTTGTCTGTGGAAGAGACAATGAAAAATTCAGAACATCTCCAATGTGAGCAGATTCCAGGGAACGTAAAATAATGGAATTAATTCACAGTTGGATGATGGTGGTTTTCACTTTTAGTTCGCTGTCGACAGTGACGTTTATTTCAGGTAAGACTTGAAGCATTTCTTTATTATTAAGTAAACTCATAAAAAAGATTGAGGAAAAGGTGAACATGAAAAATAGGAAAAAAATCCGTTGTTTCTACAATTTTCTAAACGCTTGAACATGTAGAACAGCTCATTTATAGCTGCATTATTTGAAATAAGCTGTATTATTTGAAATTCGTTTTTATCCGAATTTCTCATTCTAGCATGTAAATTTTAAAAATCCAGTAAAACGAAAGTGTAAAAAAGAAAAAAAAACAACAAATTTTAAATAATGGTTGAAAAATACTTAATATTTCAAATCCCGTTGCAAGCGGCGATGTGGATGAGTTACTATGTCATTGCATCAAAACAAACAGCAATTTATTTAACGGAATAAATCTACTTCTGTATAAATACTAAATGAGAAATATTTATGTTTTATTTCCCGAGCTCTATGAATTTTATTACCAGACTGTCTTTAAAGAGTTGCCATCGACATATACAAAGGCAAACACCGTGACTTTATACCCACTTGAGGTTGTCGTAAAATGTAAATGTTTTCTTTCGTATAATTGTGACTAGCATATCACCATCTTTAAGCTTAAAGTACCTCTTGAATGAGGGAATACTGACCTTTCTTAGCTTAATTTCAAATAAAATCCTGAGAGACATATATAAAACAACTGACAGGTGCCTTATAACAAAATTATAATTAATTTTTCTTTAAAAAATCTTGACGGTAAATAGAAATTTTTCTAGTGTATGGATTTTGTTTCTTCGAAGACTAGTACAGCAGCAATTTGTTCTTATAAGAATAAAAAAAATTAAGAACCGAAACGAAATATGCTATTTTATTTAATATTCAAATTTTCAGAAAATTAGGGTAAAACAGGAATATGAAACTATGCTATATAAAACTATATAATTATATACCATTAAGTATTGTTGATGTTACGAGGCATGATAAAATAAGATGAGACATTATGCTTCCTTGTCTCTATAATTATCGAAGATAAGATGAAAGAAAACAGAACAGATATGAGCTCCAGTGACACTATTCATCATATCATTTTGTCTTATCATGAGAGTCGGGGTCCTTTTACTCATTTGACAGCAAATTTCTACTTCCAAATTTACATGTCAAATACCGCATCAAATTCTCAGTTTCTGATACATGCAGTCGCATTCTTTGGGAAAGAATTTGATTTTCATGCAGCGTAGCGTGACTAGGATTAAAGAAACACCACATGCTCTGTTGATCGATTCACTTAAACATAATCCTAGAATTTGTGATATCAGTCACTTATTTAATCAAATTAGAGCACTAATACTCGCAAGACATCTCATCATGAAAGTATTCGTTTCATTTTTATTATTGGAAATATTGAACTGAAAAATTCAGCAAGCATCAGAGATAAAACTTAAATCATGCACGTGGTTGATATGCGGTCTTTAACATTGTAATATTGTTACTTTTTGGCATTTACTTTGATTTAATTGTAACTTTGAATCAAGAGAATATCTTTTGTTACATGAATAAACCCCCTTTTCAAGTTCAATGACGGAAAAGTCATTTAATAAGTAGATACGGGTTATTTTGGATTGAGCTTTGAAATTTGATACTTCTGATATACATCAGTAATTGTTTGATTTGGAAAACTGAAAATGTTAAGGCTTGACGCTTGTTCCCCGAGGATCCGTTTTCCTCAGAGGATGACAGGTGCGAGGCTTATCTCCAATTTAACACTTGAACAACGAACACATCAGCGTTTGTCATTTAATACCCTCTTTTAATTAAAAATAAAAAAACACTTAAGTACTTTGACAAACAAGTTATGTCTAATTTTTTTTCCATTTATGTTCAAAGCAACAGTATAAATTTAGATTCGGGATTTAATTAGCGATTCAATCCAGATGTACACGAGATGGGCGTTGGAGGAGATGCCACTCGTTTTCATTTTATCAGACGGACGAAAAGGAGTTTCTCCAACTTGCTAATGAGGAATTGTCACTGAGTTTATCAAGTGATCAGTTTCTGCGCTGGAGGGGCAGTATAGGCAATCCTTAGCGCAAGAACACTATGATGGCTGCCCTATACCATACCCTTGAATGTTAGTGGGGAAACTATTGGCATTTCATTAGTGTCTGAATTGATACGTACGTGAAAATCGATAGAAGAAAACCCTCTCCAAAAGATAATGCAAGAGAAATGGAAAATTTACCGGCATTTTAGCCAATTATCAACAGTTGAACGTCTTCCTATATGCGAGACTTTTCATTTTCGTTTAACTGCCGATTCCTGGTCAATTTTGAGGAAAAGGTTTTGCTTATACATGTTATAAGAGCAACTTTTCTTTTTTTGAAATCTAGAAATTATAATCCAACCCTTAAAAATAGTTAAGTATTTAAACATTTCACATCTGAAACAACTGAATACCGATTTCCCCAGGTCAATGTTTTGGGAAAAGGTTTTGCTTACAAAAGCAACTTTTCCTTCGAAATCTAGAAATTATAATCCAACATTTTGTAACTTAACAATTTACATCTGAACCAGCGAAATACCGATTTCCATTAAATTCTTAAATAATGTGTTCAGATGTCAACAGATGTTCAGTCATTTAACATCACTAATTGTTCTATAATATCAAATGAAGAAATAACATTTTCTGCAGCTAGTTCAGATCAATTAATCTGTAATATGAAATGCATTTTTTTTCCCGGTTGATTATCAAATTGAATTCAGTTTTGTACATTTGTTTGTTAAAATGTAAGGAAAATGAAAAAAGGCAAACATTTACAATAATATTTGATCAAGTTCAAAAATAAAACAATTGAAACTAGAGGTACTGTGAGCAATGAGCTCACTAAATAATATCCCCGCCTCTTATATGATTATAATGGAAGAAGTCCATATTTTGCTGTGGCCGGAAAACCCAAAATATGCATCGGATCAAAAAATAAAATAGAAGGTGCACAATGGCAATATGTAATAAAGATTCTTTGAAAGTTTCATTAAATTTCACTAAGTTGTTTAAGAGGAGTAACCGATTACTATATACCCTCCCACTTTTCAAGCGGGGGGGGGGGTATAAAAAAATATGTAATGCGTCATTTCTCTTCAGTATAGATGGATTAAAAGACTCAACATTGAAAAATAATGGCAATTTGATTTCTCTATCCTTTCTAACACCAAATAAGTGCACGAAGTATATAACATCTAATATATAAAAGAAGTAATCCAACCTTACATTAGTCATAGGATTTCAATATTATACAAATGTATATATAATATCTCAACACACTTCAATAGAATACTGCAGCTGAGTACTGTAGTTGATATGTATAGATCGTTCAGGCGCTACTTTTATTTTAATTTGACACTCGCAATTTTATTCGAGCACTCTCTCTTTGCACCTTGGTAGTAGTATGAATATTTGCCACGCTATATTTTGCAAGAAAATAAGGTAATGGATATTAAAAAAAAAATTAAATGACAAAAATTACAAAACAATAATTATCTGAGTTAATTTATTTTTGCATAAAACAACCACTGAACTGTCCATTTATGATCTTATTACCAGATGGTTAGTAAACTCATCAGGTGTCTTCTTTAAACTGGACGTTTCCTCATCAGTCAAATTAATTAATCAATAAATACAATGTAAATCAACTAATTAGCACGAGCCCTATTCTGCAGAGTTGACTTTCGTCTTATTTAGTAGGGGTCCTGAATGATTCCGATTCAGTGAAACATGCTGAAGGATTAACATACATGAATGTCATTTCCCTATCAGAATCAGATCTGTCCACGAGAAAAATTGTTGCATTCCTTTTATAGATTCCAATTATTTGGTGAAAAATATCCGAGGCATTTAATCAATATTATGACTATATGTCCTATGCCGAAATGTAACCTCTAATTGCTTTTCTACTTATGTATTTTCTTGCGTACTTAAACTTGTCTCGCGGATGTTTTGCTCTCTGACGAAATTGTCTTCTAAAATCCCCTCGTTTGCTTGGAATTGATGCGCATTTTTGTGAGAATATACGTAATAAATATGTGACTATCAAATTCGGAATATGGTACAATGTATCAAATGAATTATACTTTGTTAAGAATAACAGGTGTAATATATTGATAAATGTATATTAAAATTAAGCAGACAAAGTAACTAAAATATATCTTAACTGCTTTGATCTCGTAAGCAATAAAGTTAATATGATCCCTAATGCTCTACTCTCATTTGTTTAAACAGAAATACTGACTGGTGGTAACTGAAGGATTTTCGAAAATGTTTCGTCATTTTACGAGTCATTTAACTACATAAAGAACAAAACACTTCTTTTTCATAGATAAAATCTTCCTGTTAATCGATGATGACAACTAGCAGCTTGTGACGACTACCCATAAGTATGGGAGAGGAGGATGTTAATTATTAATTTTTATTACTTAAAACTATGAGAAAATAAATGACCCGCTCACCCTATCATATTTAGTAGACTTGTTTTTCCATCAGATTATAAATATTTAATTTCTGTGTTAAAGACAACCACTTAAGTGTAGAGCGCATTTAGCTACCCTCCTACATTTTGCTGTGCTTGTCCCTCTGTTAATCACAGTATAAATAAATAAATATCACCCTCTAGCTGAGAATTATATCCGTCTTTTCTAGAACTCTGGTTATCCTGAATACACACTTTTCACTTCCGGTGCAAACAATTTTAGAGATATCTTTTCATATTTAATGCTCGGGGAAAAAACCCAGCATATTTTTCATTAAGAAATGTGTAGTTGATGAACTAATTCATATGGAAAGTCATGAGATGAAAAATGTAAGAACGATATGAGCATTTCATTTTACGGGATCAAACTACATTCTTCAGTCAACTGATTGGTCACTGAATAGATTGTTTGGAAAGGTGACTGAATCAAACAGTTCTATCATTCAGTTATGTTTCAGTAAACTTTCAGTCTCAAATTTTGTCCAGAGGAGCAAGGAACAGTTTAGTTTTCTTGGACT